AATCCGTAAAATTTACACTAAAAAACCGGCAGCTGTGGTTGCCGGAATTTTACCGTAAAAAATACGGTAGCAACGTTTTAGGTTTTACAGTTTTAACTTAAATTTACAGTTAAATACCGTAATTTCATTAACTGATATAATGTTAATATACCAACCTATTGAAGTACTGAAATCTGTTTTGTACCTTTGTAATACACTGATAACCACCAAATGCAGGTGGTGAGGAGAAAGTCACATGATGAACCAAAGCCCATCACAAGCAGCTTTTAAATAATAACATATATAGAAGGTGCACAGTGTCATTCACACAAACACTAAACACCATCATGGTAACACACATGAAACTGAAATAATGCAATAAACATTCATTTAACAACGTTAGGTGTAACACTCAACCCTAATATACAAAACTGATAAGAAAAAACTAAGCAGCAGCATAGTTATTTCAGCAAAAAAACATCAAATTTGAAATGTAACGCAGGGAATTCTGGGAATGTCAATTTACGGTTATTCACTGTAAATTATACGGTATTTTTCATACTATACGGTATATTATACTACCGTAAAATTTATGTCCAATACATGTAATGTCCAATACAGTTTTTCACCGTATATAGTAGGGGAATTTACTGTTAACCATTTAACAGGTTTTTACTGTAGCATTTTTACAGTCTTTTACCGTTAAATTCATGGTCATTTTTTACAGTTCTAGTTCAGCTCTTTGGAAAAGCACCACAGGGCAAACGCTACAGCTGACAGCACATAAACGCATCCTACAGAAGAACTTGCACAGACACATGCACACATGACAGGCAGGTGAATCTCTGCTTTTATTTTTATATCTTCAGTTTTCATTTGAAATTTTGTTTGGGAACTATGTGCTTCTATCTTTTTTGTGTGTACATTTTTCTTATTTCAGTTTAAGTTTTAGCAATTTTCAACTAATATATTTTATTATATTTAAATATTATATTAATATTATTTATTATACTATTGTTTCATATTTTATTTTTATAATTTCAGTTTTAATGCTAATTTTAGTTTAACTAAGTGCTTTTATCATTTTTATTTTTGTTAATTATTTGTAAATATTTATTTTTTTTAATTTCAGTTTAAGTTTGAATAATTTTAGCACTTCAACTTTTATTTTTACATTTTCAGTTTTTTTTAGTTTTAAGTTTTCATCTAATATTATATTTTATTTCGGATTTACTTCAATTCATTTAAATGATTTTAATTAGTTTTAGTTATCAATAACAACACTGGTTAGGAAAATGGCTGACTGAAACTAAAACTAAAGACATAAAACAACTAAAATTAACATTAACTGAAGTAATATATTAAAAATATTTTATTTCATTCTTGACAAGGCAATAACGACTTCAAAATGAATGAATAAAATCTATAATAGTATCTCAATTATACTGAAATAGCACTAGCAATAACATATTGACTTATAAAAAAAGTCAGAGTAGCTTAGATAGGATGAACAATTCATTATGGGTTTGCATCTATTATGTGTTAAAAAATGATTGAATGGTAAGGATTGAGAGAAAGACCAACGCATAGCTTGAGTGATGCATAAACCACCATTACAACCATACGCATAAAACCACCATACTTTTACAAAAAGTAAAACCTACAAAAATCTCAAAACCTATTGAGTTGCCCACTATTACAGTTGTTTTTTTTAATGTTTTAAGCAGCCTATGAGGCCCCATCATGATATCTAGGCAGAATTGAACACCGCATATGATGCTATCTTGGTAGGTTGCTCACTAGATTATCTAGACTAGTCAGCCACAAAGTGTAATGACTTCTTTGAAGCGGAAGCATTGCAGTGACATTCTCGCATTTACAGGTGTGAGAAAGTGAGCATTTCATTATAATGATGGCGAGGTGTCTTTAAGACAGTGTGACAGCATTCTTTCAGTCTTTTGTCTCGTTTTAAAGCTGGCCTCCAGCTGAAACCTCACACCGCCCACACCTAGTTATATCGGTATGACAGCATCTTTTTTTTTGTAGAGGTGCATTGTACATAAAGTCTATAGGTTTGACAGGACACTTGTCCTGAGGGATACTTAAACAATTACACACGACTTCCAAAAAGAATGCGGTTCTTTGCCTCCTTTGCTTGGAATCCAGCAATGATGCAGGTGACTGTGTAATAGCAGCTTTCATTTAATAACCAAACTTGTGCAATATAAGATCCATAAACCATGTCCCAAGTCTCCAGAGTTTCATTACGTCTTGTTGGACACATGTTGATGCAATGATTTCATTAAAAATGCAAGGACAATCAACTCTTCTACTCGCACACAAGCCATTTGCAATCTGAAGGACTAAGTGCCAAATCGCAATACATTGTTTTTAGATGGTAAAAGCGATCTGTCAATTGCTCGCTTTGTCTTGTGATGCATCATAAACAGCTGTTTGGAAAAGAGAAGAATGTGTAAAGGGAAGAAATGAGTTTCACCTGCTGAAAATTGCTTAAGATTGCTTTTTTTTTTTCAGTAATATACTGATATTTCCGAGTATATGCAATAGTCATAATGCAAATAATTTCAGATACTGACCACATTGGACCTGGGTCCAAAATGAACTTTCTTGCCAATGGTAAATGACATTTAATATTTCATTATTTGATCAAATTTACTGGTAACAGTATTTTCCATGATTTCTAAGTAGCTGTTTGTTTTGTATATTCATAGGTCATTGTATTACTCATATTATCATACACTAGCCACTATTTTTGTGAAATGCCTGATGTCAAATCAATAATTTTGCTCCCCCTCAGTGCTGTTATTGTTAGCTAAAACTAAAATGATTAAAAATCATTCATTGAAATAAAGCTGAAATAAAATAAAATATAAATATTAGGTGAAAAACGTAGAAATGCCATCTTGGCAACTAACTGAAATAAAAATAAAGCTAAATATGCTTAAAAAAATAACATTAAAATAGTAAACAGAAAATATAAATATACAAAATTTCATTTTTATTCCGAGGTCACCATAGCCATATGGATCAGGTCTGTATCCAGATCAGATGGTCACTGTAGCCACCCAGATCCAGTCCATATCCAGACCAGATGGTGGATCAGAGACGACCTCTATAGCCATGAATGTCAGCGGAAATCATGTTAACTAGGGGCCTGTTTACACCTGGTCATTTCATGCGTTTTCGCTGATCGGATAT